ATCATCTTGGAAGAAAATTGCATGAACACAAACCCATACCAAAAAATAAGAGAGAATTAGCTTCCGTTTTGGAGGAGAAGTGGTTGAAAATTGAGGAAAGTGTTTTAGAAAATTTAGCAAATAGCATGCCTCGAAGAGTTGAGGCTGTAATTGATAGTAGAGGAAATCCCACAATGTATTAATGCTATAAATAAAAAGTTCATAACAAGAGGATTTCAAAAATATAAAATTTATTAAAAGTTATTAATAGTTTCTGAACAAACTTAATTTGAATGTTTGATAAAATTTTCGAAATAATGCCGATCATCAAAAGTGACAGATACTTTTGGCAGGGGGGTGTATATCAAAAACGAAACTTTTGCAACAGATGACTATCAAAAATGCTGGGTATCAGCGAAAACGTGACTTTACTGCGGATATATCAAAAACGGAACTCCTGATATATCAAAAACGAAACTTTTGCATCATTGACTCGTTACATCTTTTTCTTTTCGTTTCGTATCCAAAAACATGTCTGATTTCAACCCACTATCAATTCTAAAAGAAGAAATAAAGCGCCTCGGATTCGTTTCAGACGAAAAAAATAAGTTTATTTGGTTATTTCACCGGAAATGAGAAAAATCAAGCTGACGCGTTATCTCTCATTAACGATTGTGATACTGATGAAGAAAAACGTAATTATTTGAGGTCTCTAATCTCTCCACCTGGTATGTTCTAAGATAATGTTGCATTTTCTGTCATATTTGGCAACAATAACGGATACTTACTTATTCTTGTGCTTTTCTTTCTGCTTCTTATCGTCAAACCCGCCCAAAAAACACATTCGCGTTATCGTAGATCAACTCGTTGCTGGTAAGTGAGTCGCCAACACTAACGTGACGTTTGATAGCCATTTTATTTTCGTCTGCCGTGTCATATCGATAATCCCTTATTTATTCCTATTATACAGAATATTATGGTGAGAAGCTCCGCCGCCAACAAGGTTCTGCAGGTAACGACTTTGTGACTCGGCGTTGGGGCGTGGAATAGAGCGTTGGAAGCATGAAATTATTTGCTATCTATCCGTTCCCATGGCTCATATATCAACCATCCATTATTAGTCACCGAGCATTTCACAATTATTCACTATTGATTGTGACGTTGAACTTTCTCACTTACCATCCTTTCTTTTCTTTTTTTTTTTCCTCGCATCCCACTATCATTTCTACGCGCCTTGTTAGTATTAGATGAAGGTAAACACTGAGGAACGAGGTCAAAGTGCACGCGCAATTTTGGAAACATATATTGCTCACTGTTATGTGTCTTTCTTTCTATAATTATTGTGAATGCTATGATCACAGACCTCGAGATTCGAAACAAACTATCCAAGCGTCGTCGTCTCGTTCCAAGTAAGCAAGATAAGAAACTGGTCTTTATGGCACAGATCTTCAATGTCTAATTCCGCCATTAGCATTAGGTACCAAGCCTATCAGTAGCAGTTTCGCAGACATTCCAGATGAAGGTCAACTTTTGCAACTCAATGCTAGTGTTCTACCAGAATGGAGGGACCTCGAATTACATGAATCTGTGTTATTTCCGAAATCTCATATAATCTTCCGTAAAGAAATGAGGGATATTGTGTGTCAACTGAAAAATGGCCCCTGTAACTATAACCTGGAAGTTCCAACCTCATTCACCAAAGTTCTGCAAGGACCTGGTGGTTCAGGAAAGACTACTACACTTACTGTTGCAGGCTATTTTGCAAAAAAAAGTGGATGCATTGTACTCCCAATACAAGGAAATTATTTCACAGATGGCACAAAATGGTTAAATCACATAGTGCAAGGATTTCTGATCCAATGGCTAGGTGCTGTAGGCAAGGATGCCTTACAAAAGATTCCTTGCCGAGTTACTGACTACGAAAACCTCTATGAACTTGCAATAATTGGAGCCACTAATTCAGTTGTGTCAATTGAGGTTTTTGAATGCTTTATACAGGAATTGCAGTCTGTGAATGATGTTCCTGTCATCTTTTTGATTGACCAATGCAATGCACTGTTATTGCCTCATCTATGTCGATTGAAAGAGGAAGATGAGCCAATTCAGATAAGACCAGAACATAATCGCATCTGCAACATTTTCAAAAACTGGAATACATTCCAAGTTCAATGTGGTGCTGCACTGTTTGCTTTCTCTTCAACCTTCCATTCTAGTCAGACAGTAGATGATGGCAACCTTATGCTTATCAGTATTGTTACGACGAGTCGGTCTGATGAATCAGTCGATGAAGTCATGTGATAAAATCTTCCTCCGCAGTCAAAATACT